GTGTGCGTGAGAGGGGGGGGGGGTAATTAAAAATTACGTTTTAAACGCCGAAAGCTGGCGAAGCATTACAAACCAATAGGCCAACTGGGTTCGATGATGTAATTTATCCTGTATATATAAATAGCAGTTCAGAGGATCTTTTGTTTTTAATCGTCCATTCCAATTGATGAGTTCTAGTGTTGAACAAAAGGCCTCTTGGGCAGTGATTTATGGGAGAAAAAAAAAGACAGATCTGACAGGATGTTTTTACGTGCTTGTGATTTTGAATCTGAAATGGCCGTATTGAAACAAATGTGTTAAGAAAATAAATTTCAGTTTACACGATTTTTATCACAAATTTTAAATAAAGTCATTGTTTAATGAGAATACGATTAAGTTTTACTTCTGAAATCGAAAACGATTGATTATATATTACTAGTAATTGCGGAATTTGAAAGATTATTTAATGAAGCACCAATGCGAAATATTTTAAATTAATTGTAAATTATTTTATTTTAATATAGATGTCACTGAACGCAATAATAAAGAAAATGGAGCTGATAAAAAACGGCCAGGCCTACGGACACTGGCCGCTAGAGGGTCGAACATAATAATGCAATTTCTTGCACTGTGCTTGAGAAAAGTGATGTTTATTTCTAAAGAAAATTCCTTCAATTAAAGCAAGAAACATTGTAAAAATGAAATACTCGTGTGGGTTTGGGAAAGGTGGGAGTTATGTTTCGTCACGGTTACGCTACTCCTGCTTTCTTAGTTCTCACGGAATGGGGTAGTTTTCGCTCAGTCCTTTCTTGCGCTTGCGCCGTTGGTATGTTAGGCTAATATTTCATTCGACCTGTTCGAGCCTGTAGAGTTATTAACCAGAATCAACTTGGACAAATCGCAACATCTTACTTGTAAACTTTACATTTATAATGTTTGAGAACTATAGAAAATTCAAACAAACAAACACATATTTGAACCATTACTTTTAGATGATTTATTGCAAAACAGCGACATTTTTTTTTCCTTGCTTACTTTGATTAAACGAAATAATTCATGTAATTATTAAAGGTTTTGTGTGTTATGTATAAAAATATCTGTTGGTTTCAGAAAATATAATAAATGGTTTAACAAACAATCGTTCAAATTTTGGCATTGTGTGTTCGTAGTTTCACACATTTTAGACGTGCTTCTGATACTGAGATTCAACTTGAAGCTGTCATAAGTAAAATATCTGTGTAAACCTTAAAACATCTAATTCAGTCTTTGGACCTACCTCGCTGCTGTCTCTTTACGATGTAATGTTTGAAAATATATATACACCTTTTTTCACGATTGGTTTATTGATATTTAGGAGTAGATGTCACTGCTAATCAAGATGAGATTTCTGATCACGAGACCTTCCAATTGGAGTTAGATAGCGCCACCAAGCGATGGTACATTCGAACCATGGAGGACAGTTATTGGTGTTTGGGGATCAACGCTGGAATCCAGGCTACTAGTTGTAAGAGGTATGAAAGCTCCTTGAGAGATGGCGCTACCGTAGCCTTGAAACGGATCTCCTTATTCGTACATTTTTTAAAAAGGAAATACACCAATGGGGTTTTGTTTTCAGATGCTGCAAATGTTAGATCAGATATATTTTTAAGTTTATGAAAGCAGAGGGCAAGTTTTGGTCAAGTTTTATCAAAATGTACAAATGCTATACGAAACTAAATATTAGGTTAAGCTAAGCCTTACCCTTCTTTATATTTAAAACTCATAGTTGACGAACACATCTCCCAAATGACACCGAAACAACGTAATGGACCTAGTATTAGTGTTAGTATTTTACAACAATCAGTGTTAAGGCAACTAAAATGTTTATAAGTAAAATATTGAGTAAAGAAATAAATTATGATTTTAGGACTCCCAACTGTCTTTTCGACCTTATATGGCATCAAGATGGAAGCGTAACTTTTGTGGCAAATAATGGCAGGTTTGTGGCAGCAAAGAAGAGTGGTCACCTGTTTGCCAACAGTGACCAAGTGGGTGACATGGAGAAGTTCCGTTTCTACTTGATAAACCGTTCAACCCTTGTCATAAAGTGTAACCAAGGGTTTGTGGGCTACAAGAGCGCCACCTCTAAGAAGCTGGAGTGCAATAAGTCGTCTTACGAAACAATCATTATAGAAAGAGGAGACAATCCAGGAAGCTATTATTTCAAAGGTTTGTAGGATTGCTGGATCAGGAATAAATTGAAATATTTCATCTTATTAGTTACAAATTGCTTGGAAAAAAAATATTGGTTAAATCTATATCACATTTGTGACAATGTTTTTCACTGTATCAAGATTCTGCATCAGGATTTACCTATCTATCGACTTTTAAATTGTCACAGTTACATGATTTAATACGCGAACGTTTAGTTTTTTGTTGGTGTGGAAAAATTAGATAATGTGTACCAAAAATAACACGTTGTCATCTTTGTGGCAAATAAATTAATTTTTATTGTATTTCATTAATCCTAAACGTACTTATGTTCTTCAGCCTAATTTAATTTACACTGTTAAAAATGTGTATGTATGTATATATATATATATGCATAGTTTTACTTCTTGCCAACAGATGGCGCGAGCAACAAATATTGGAGAGTCTCAGAAGAGGATGTTGTTATAGATTCTGATGTTCCAGAACGATTTTATTTAGAGCTCAGAGAGCCATCAAAATTGTGTGTGAAGACCTCTAGCGGGACGTATTTAGTAGCAGAAAAGAACGGGATCCTCAAGGTCAATGGCGCAGATGCTTCAAGTGCCACCTTATGGGAGTTTTAAAACAACATCAAAAACAAAAAAATACAATTGTTATGCGAACTCACCCGAATAGAGCTATTTTTGTAATAATTTTAATTAAAGCCAGAAGTGATATTTTTCGCATATGTATGGGAATAACATTAGTAAGTTTGTGGCATTTTTTCATAAACCATATAGCTACAATACTTTTAATTTATTTTATCAATAATTATTTTTCTTAACCAATATACTTAACAGTTTGGTGTCTGGCTCTGAAGGTTTCACTTGTTAATTTATCATTTGTAATTGAAAAAATAAATACAGTTCTAAAAAAAAGCTTTGTGATTGGCTTGTTCGGGTACGTATAACATCAGTATTACATCTGATGATGTGCTTTTAATGTATGTATATAGAAGATACGATTTCCGGATATTCTGAAGCTTTCGTGAATGTGAAAAATCTAATGTTTGAAATGACAAAAAATAACTTGTATCCATCTTTAAAAAACAATGTGTCGCCACCTTCGGAACTGTTGTGCGAAGATTATACATACCTTTTAGGTTTTATTTTCCTAAAAAAAATTAAAAGGTTTATTAACATTTATGCCTTTGCCTAATTCAAATTACCTATGACTAGGCCTAGAGGATATATAGTAGCTGAAACAAAGTGCGAAATATGAGATACAGAGTTATTAACATAACAGTGGCTGTTGTGGCGCCATCTTTTGCTTCAGAGAATAATGTGAAAATTACGTTTTCTTAGCTTACACGTACGTATTCTAAACTTGCATGATAAAACGTCCCATTAATTAATTTAATTTTTAGTATAGAAAGCACGAGTTTTTTAATAGCTAAAACTAGAAGGTTGAACAAATATTGAAAAAATATATATATATAAAATCTACACATAATTTTCATTAAAAATAAGTTTATTTTAAATAGATTAATTACCCTATTTCTATAGGGTATAGTGTCAAGTTTATCTGCCTATCACACGTGAGATTGTGATTCAATTCTTCAAGATGTGTGTGGGGGGGGGGGGGGGTAAGTTCAATTTTTTAACCCGTCAGATTATTTTTGAGGTGGTGTACTTTAAAGAACTTGCATTAAATAAAAAACAACGATGAAGAAAGTACCAATTAACTCTATTGACAATAATTTTCTGTCCGTTATTTTTGTTGTAACGACATGCATCCCAACTTTTCTGCTTTTCATATGTGTATCATAACGAAACTGTTCATCTTTCAACCAGCATAATAAGCACTAGGCCACACTGAGCTCAACAACGATATTCACATAATAGCCACCAGATGGCGAATATAACTTGTAAATCTAATGTTCAAACCGCTTACTTAAGACTGTATAAAAATAGATTGATGTGTAATAGGTTTACAGATATTCGTATATATATATTTGAGCAAATTTTTATACGGTAGATATTACCCGCAGTCATAATGAATATTGATAACGTAGGACAAATAGGTTGGCTAAAGTACTTGCTCTTCTCATTAACGATAAAACCCAAATTAACCTGCAACGAAAGTTACTTCAATGTTAATAAGGAAACGTAAGGATGAATAGCTTATATAATAAATTAAGGTCTTCCACATAAAGACGTTTATGATAACGGTTCGTTCTTGTCGAACTGGGGATTCAGACAAACAGATATTTATGGTTCATTCATGGAGAACTGAGGCTTCAGAGAAACTGATATGTATGGTTCATTCATGGAGAACTGAGGCTTCAGAGAAACTGGTATTTATGGTTCATTCATGGAGAACTGAGGCTTCAGAGAAACTGATATGTATGGTTCATTCATGGAGAACTGGGGTTTCAGATAAACAGGTATTTACGGTTCATTCATGAAGAACTGAGGCTTCAGACAAACAGATATGTATGGTTCATTCATGGAGAACTGGGTTTCAGAGAAACTGATATGTATGGTTCAATCATGGAGAACTGAGGTTTCAAAGAAACAGATATGTATGGTTCATTCATGGAGAACTGGGGTTGCAGGTAAACAGATATTTATGGTTCATTCATGGAGAACTGAGGCTTATGACAAGCAAATATTTACGGCTGTTCATGGAGAACTGATACTTAAGACAAGCAGGTACATATAGTCCGTTCATGGAGAACTGATACTTAAGACAAGCAGGTACATATAGTCCGTTCATGTAGAACTGAGGCTTAAAACGAATATTATGATCCGTTCATGGAGGACTGATAATTTGCCCCCAGTGGCAAAGCGGTATGTCTGCGGACTTACAACACTAGAATCTGGGTTTCGATACCAGTGGAGGGCAGAGCACAGATAGCCCTTTGTGTAACTTTGTGCTTAATAATAAACAACGACAACAAACAACAAGAACTGATAATTTAGACAAGTACGTGTTTATGGTCGTTAACTGAAGATTGAGAGAGTTTGTGATATTTATTTTTCTTAGATTCTTTGTTTTAATAAATGTTTAGAAAACAAAGTGAGAAGTAGAAAACACGTGTCGTATAAACATATACCCAAATCAAAGCTCTATCAATAATAACATTTACTGAACTAATTCAACATATACCACCTGGAACATAAGAACTGTTTTTTAAAAGTTCATATTGTGTTTTGTTTAATTCAATTGAAGGATAGAGCAGTATACCAGATGTACATATTACATTCAAATAAAAGCAGATAGATTAAACTGACCTAATTACTGAACTACTTAAAACTTTCGAATGAAATGGTTAAGAAAATCTTATGTGTTAAAAACTAACATGTGAATTTAAACTTTTGGGTCCTATTTTAATGCAGACAAATAAAGAACACAAACATTTAGATATAAAATGCTTCAAGATTTCTCTGACACACAGTTTGCAACATGTGATAATCATAACTTTTATCAAAGTTTTCAGCGTGAGATATCAGGATTCAATCCTTCATAAGTGAGATTAAACCTACTTAGGCCTAACTTCACGAACGACGTTTCAACAGAAATTCTGTAACTATGTACGTTTAACTTACTTGCATAATTTCCTCGCTAATCAATCCATAACAAACTCACCGAATAACTGAATCGTAATAAAATATGCGCAATAAAACTGACAGTTTAAATTATTAACCGAAATTAATAACTAACTGAAAAACTTACTCAGTTTGATGTTGCGTCATCATGACGTAATAACATGCTCAATTGAGTAAACATACATCTAAAGTAAAATATTAAAACTATATCTTACAATAAACACACGGTTAGTTAATATTTAATAGACGTAGTACTAGTTAAAGATAAGATTAAAAGTCTAAGACCTAGACATTTCTGAAAGATTTCTAATTAAATAACTTTAATTTTTCTATCTGTGAAGTAATAAGACATTATATATTATATATGTTATTGTTCAGTTCACCAGCCATGCATGAAAACGTTCTGCCAATTACCACCCTCATTAGTCACTATTGTACGTGAGTAGCCTAAAAATACGAGTTTGAAGGTTTTAGGTTTAATATCAGCATGACACGCCGAGGGAAAACAACTTCGTTTGATTTTTCTGAGGACTCTCAACTTTAAATTTTTCACAAATATCCGACAAAATCAGCGACCTATTTTCGCATTTCTCATGACTTCCTTCAGTAACGATAAGTAAAAGTTCACAGTAAAGACAGGCTCGTTGTTTACAAACAATATTGTGTAAAAAAACCTGAAAGGTAATTTGCTGAATCCCTTGTCGCACATAAACAGGTTCTACTCTCGTACCAAACGATTAAGCACGCTTTTGATCCCAAAGTCAGTTTACGCTTTATTATTAAACATCAACATAAACAATAATTTAAAGAAATAAACAACAACATAAAACATTCAATATATTTATCATTTTTGTTAAGCTTAGGATTTCAAGTACGTATCCTGTTCTAATAAAAAATGAATTATATGTTATTTTCTTAAAGCAAATCTAACACAATGGCCTGTCTATATTCTGTACACCGTGGAGAACGAACCCCAGACTTTAGCGTTATAAATCCGTTAACTTACCACTGTCCATCCGAGGGCATGGGGTGATAGTCTTGTATTGATAGTCTTAAACTTATATTAAAGTTTTTCTTCATTATACATTCAAGCCGTCTCCAACCATTATTAGTCTCAAAGTGTTCCTCATCATCGAATAGTCTTGTATGCATACGAAGTTTTGGTTGAGCTCCAATAGGGGGCTGCGATGTCAAGTTCGACTAATCTGTTTTTCCTGGCCAGTTATAAAACTAAACAAAACACGTTTCTCGGATAGGCATGTCTCCACAGTGTTTTATAAGTAAGTTAGTTAATTGTCAATTATATTAACTTAATGTTTGCCAAATCTCAAAATCATTGCTAATAAATTATACATGTTTTGAGATACACTGGTGTTGAGAATATATTCAACAGTAAAAGTGGCGCCCTCTAAAAAAATCTAACTTAGAAGACCTGTAACTTGCAATAAATGTTTGTTTGTTTGTTTTGAATTTCGCGCAAAGCTACACGCTAGCCGTCCCTAATTTAGCAGTGTAAGACTAGAGGGAAGGCAGCTAGTCATCACCACCCACCGCCAACTCTTGGGGTCTACTCTTTTACCAACGAATAGTGGGATTGACCGTCACATTATAATGCCCCCACGGCTGAAAGGGCGAGCATGTTTGGTGGGACGGGGATTCGAACCCGCAGACTACAAGTCGAGCGCCCTAACCACCTGGCCATGCCGGGTCTTCGAGAAATGTCTAAATACGTACAGTTCATGAAGATCCTATCCCGAAATATTAATTATGTTTGGAATTAGATACGTTAAAGTTTTGCCGCATTAATATTTCTCTGTTATACTTAAAAGCTGCTTTGTGTATCAGGATTTCGATAAATGCTCACTCTAAAATCAGGTCAAATTCCTAAGCCGGCTATCATAAAACTCAAAATTAGCCTGACTGAAAAGTCGTTTACGTTATACAATAGTGTTATTTCGCCATTTTTAAGAAGTTATTATTGCTAATACTTATGCACTCTTATGCTAATACTTATGTGTACTCTGCCCACTACGGGTATCGAAACCCGATTTTCAGCATCATAAGCTACTGATTTACCACTGAGTCACTGGGGGGATACTTATATTTCCATATGTTTTTCTAATGGTTTCTATTATTCGGCGGACTCTTTCGGATTATTTGGTGAAAAAAAAAGTCCAGTCTAATTAATTATATCGAAAGCGTTTTATTTCTTCAACCATAATTTCTGCAAGTTACACGAGGAAACTAATGATAGGCCTAATTTCACAAGTAACAGATAACCGACTAACAATTTCGCTAACCAATCAGCCTCATCATTAAAGGAACAGTCTCTTCTAACCTTGCCTAACTCGGTTGTGTATCGGTCAGATCGTTTTCTAAGCTTCCAAAAAAGTTTTAGTTGTGCTAAAAACGATATCCTACAACAGCATACAATAAAAAAATTTGTTTTTTACAACAAAATAGACATTCGATAAAAAACGAGTTTCTTATGAGCGATATGTGATATATCAAGCTGAGATCAGGAATTTAAGATTCGCCTGCGAGGCCCAGTACTTATAAAACACGCGCGAAAACGGGAGCAGAAGAACTATGGGAAATCGATGACGTAAAGGGTATAAATATATGTGGGAAATGGCATAAAATTATGAATAGAATATGCACTCCCAATTATGGAAACATGATTATTCTAAAGAGAGTAATCATTCCTGCGTTGTGAAGAGAGTAACATCTATTATTTGACACGATGACACACTTTCAGAAATATTAAAAATATACATAACGGGGACAACAAACCGTACAGGTTCCCAGCACTTAGATTTCACCGTACCATCTTGGTTGCTTTTCGTCACGTGCTTCCCACAATCAACACCCAAACGGGCCAGTAATCGACTCCATTTTTTCTGTTTCGAATACCCCAGAACTTATTACATGTAACCAGTGGACGGTTGACTAACTTGTATGTTATAAAAAAAATCGTTTTCACAATGTGCTTGTTAAAGTTTAGATCACTAAAGTATGTTTTAAAAACTCGTAGTATTTTTGTGTGATTAAAACAAACAGTGCCTTGTCTGTTAACCTGCTATTTAAAGAAGCAACCCTAAAATATCCGGTGGTTACTTTTGTATGCCCTGCAGCGCATTAATCTGAATCTGTTCACAATTATTATATATATATATATTACTTATTGACATTTTGTCATACTCGCCGAGTCGACGTTCGCTTTCAAAACACAGTACTGGGATAAACACACGCAGATAAAGAATTCCCAATGGATTATGTTCTGTTGCCTGATTATGACGTATAAAAATTTAACAGTGCATAATGTCTTAAAGCCGATTAAAAAAAAAAAGGAAATAAAATGTAACTAAGATATTGACTTGAAATATTTTAAATGAACTTAAAAAATTGAAATAATGATGACGTCATGGGAGTCAAAATAAATCTTCGGTAACGCATACTGGTTTAATAAGATTATCTTAGGCCCGAACGCGTTATATTTAAAATTTGAATAAATAAAATATAAGAACTATTTATAGTCACGGAAAAAGAGCTAATATTTTTCCAGTGACTGAGTTAGTAATGATTTTAAAAAAAAGAAGAAGAAGAAACGAAGTTTGGTTCGATGTCAGAATAAGTTAGTTGAAAAAGGTGGCGTGATCACGTTTTGTTTTGTAAAAATAAACGGCCTCTACGAACTGACGGTTTTGTGTACAATAATATTTTCACAAATCCATAAACTAATTACATTATCTTGAATAAGTGCGAAGATGTGAAACGATAAGGAAAATTGTACAATAGTTTTTCTCGAAATTGTACGTATATTTCCTAAATAACTATTGAAATTTCTTATTCAACAAAAAGCTCTTACAATTTTAGGCTTAGCATGGCCTGGTTAGTACGGCGCTCAACTTGCAATCTGCATGTCACGGGATTGAATCTCGTCGCCGAACTTGCTCGTCCTCTCAGCCGTGGCGGTAATATAATGTGACAACGAATCCCACTTTTTGTTAGTAAAGAGCAGCGATGGGTTGTGTTGACTAGTTACCACTTCTAAGATAAGGAACACCAGCGCAAATATTTCTCGAATAGCTTTGCACAAACTTTAATAAGCAAATGTTAAAATAGTAGTACTTTATAGTTTTCTACCCGTGTACCACTTATGGGCCTAAAATAACTTAAAAATCTTTTTATTTCTGAAAAGATTTACTGTAATTTAAACAATAACGTCTGGATAAACGTTATTAGCTCACATATCAATTTTTTAACGTTTTCTATTTAATTTCTATTTAAAAATGAAACGCTGTCTTGAAAAACTGTTGCATTTTTGTGCAAACACAGAAAACAAGTTGATTGTTGATTAACAATTGGCTCTTTGCTCACGTGACCTAAATAATTGAACCTTATTGGGGGAACTACAATTACGTCAAACCTTGGCCCATTATAAAAGATAAACCAGACGGTCGGTGATTCAACTTATTCACTGTTTTCCGATTTCAACATCAGGTGGGGTATTTCTTGACTTTTCGGCGCTGCAGTGTGAATTCACATGTCAGTATATTCAAGAAGAAATTAGAAATATATCGTTATGTCGTGGTTTAATAAGGTAAGTTCTGAATATCGGGGATAATAATCGGTTTAAAACACTACTAAATATGTGTGTTTGTGTGTATATTATACATAATTTACCATTACATAAATATAAGTTCTTAAAACTGTTGTTGTCTAATTTAAGTAATTATTCCAAAGATAAAATAGACAATAATTATCTAACAGAAGTTTCAGTGTAGATTTAAATACAACACACAACTTAAAACTAGTATACGTCGTTTCAGTATTAATAGTTAAAAATCGGTCAGCCATCTTAGAATATCTCCATCTTCTGGTGTTGTAACGAAACGCCAAAAAACTGTTAAAATTAATATGTTTATTAAGTGTTTTGATAGACTTAGTTCTTTAATGATCTTTCTATTTTGTTTAATCTATTTTAACTTTAATAAGTCTGTTTGTTTGTTTTTAAGTGCAAAAACTACATAATAGGCGTTGTGCCCAATTTTTAACGTATAAGTCTCCAACTTTACCGCTGAGCCACTGTGGGGCAACTTTAATAAGATACGTTAAAGAAAATTTGACTGCAAGGTATACTATTTTTCTTACCCCCTGAACCTTTTTATTTAGTTTTGTAATTCGTAGTCAAAGTGTAAAACAAACCGGAAGGAGCAGTGTATCTAACAGAATTCTAATTTGTTGTTTTATGATACTTGTTAATTAGAATTTACTGTATGAAATTGGCTAAGTAACTTGTATGTTCTAAAATAAAACCATAATTTACATAACTGCTGTGTTCACCTCCACGGCTCGTAGATAAGCTTGAGGAGTTATAACGATAAAATTCAGGTTCAATCCCTGCGGGGGGGGGGGGGCACAGCACAGATAGCCTGTTGTGAAGATTTGTGTTTAATAGCATAACAAACAAACATAAATGTTGTTTAATTTTTATGGGCCTTTATTTTTTAGCCTAAAGGTGTAAGTAGCGGATTTATATCGCTTCCTGAACCTAGGGTGCGCTGTGAAACAAAACAAATCTAGATGAAGATGAAATAGTTAATAATCCCATTTTGACGACTTTAATAATATGTGAAAATACAATAAACTTATAACACTAAAATTCGGGGTTCGCTTCTTGTGGTGGGAATAGCTCAGTAACCCAATCTTTATACTCAACAAAACACACATAAAGTAATGACACAAGCAGGAAATGCTAAATATCTTTGGCTGATTCTGGTCTCGAAGTTTATGGTCAAACCACAAGTACGCAAGCTACAAAATACACACACACACACGTGGGCTATAGAGTTGATACTGACGTCAGTAAACGTAGCAATGTCAAAAAATCGCAAGTTTGTTTAGTGTTTACACAAAGTACACCTGCCACATACAGCAACTTACCTTGTTTTAGTCATGCATATATTATATAAGATTCACTTTCAGCCTACAACCGTCAAATTTAAAATTAATTTATTTGTTGTTGTTGTTGTTTTTGGCAGAGTCAGGGTTGTCTCTTTAAGCTCAGTTCTTTCGCATTCGGTAATTAAACATTCACGTTTTGGATATCTTTAACACGTCATTTCCCGTTTCCCGAAAACATGGCTTAGAAAGAAACACATTTTTAAATGAAGCCTGTTTTTAATCGCTATTTGCACTGAGATGTAAAAACTTCTGCCGCCATGTAGACAAGACCTCACTGTTGAAGACCTAAGGATATGGAAGATTAGGTTGTTGACCTAATTCAGAGAAGTGGACAAGAAAGAGAGAGAGGTACTTGTGTGGATAAACATATCATGCTAACACCTACAATCTGAGGCCATACTGAAGAATACATCTTCATTCCAAAAAGTACGCATTACGGTTGATAAACGCTGAGGTATAAGCTTTTCTGATTTATTCAAGCACTCAAAGTGATTAAACTGGAACATCTTTAAAGTAAAACGCAATATTTAAAATATTTAAATATACGAAAAATGTGCACTCTTTTAGTGTCGTCAACTAAACAAAACAAGCGCGAATTAATTATCCCATGGAACACAGACTAAAGCGACACCTTAAGCTTGGTGAACATGTAGGGTTAAAATAAAAACTACAGAAAATTATAAAGTAAAAAAAAAGAAAAAGTTATGAAGCTTTAAAGTTGTACAGTAAATAGCAGCCAATCGAACGTACAAAAAAGTAAAGAAAATGTACTAAGGATATATATTTGTGGCCGGAAACTGCATAAAACAAATGCCACAATGTATTGTAAAATCACTGTATCCTCATAAAATGTATGCTGTCATTAGGCCTTTCTTTCCAAATTTTTAAATAGGCCTAACATTGAAGTTTTAGATAAATTTCTGGTATGTGTTTCTTACATCAGCTTTTACTCCCTCCGGGTTGGTGGAGGGCAACCCCGGTTGACCCCAACTCTTTCCCATTTAATAATTTCGTAAACCCAAATGGAAACAAGAAATTCAGCGTAATATCTGTACTATTTAATATTACACGTTTATTGGCAAAACGTTTCGCGGAGGACCGTTTTTATAGATGCAAACAACAACAAAAAAAAAACAACAAAAAACAAAAACAAAAAAACATAACAAACTAGTATTTAAACGTTCGGTCATGACCTCTAATCGGTTAACCAAGTAAACATTCTTATTGCACTTTAGGAGGTCATTTCTGGTCAGACTTTTATCCTTTAGTTTATTGGTTTTATTAACACATTTTGTATTTTTTACAGGTTATGATACAGTTATGCCTGGTGTCGTTGCTCCAGATAATGGTAAACACCCAAGGTAAGTTGTAAGTAGTAATGTTATGGTTTGTGACACATTGGATCTGATTACCATGCTATGTTATAGAATGTAGAATGCCTTTTGACGCCGAATATACAATATTATTACATTTGAATTTTAATTATACACAACTATGTACGATTGTTGTCTAACAATGTTACTACACGGTGACTTTCTAACAATGTTATGTTAACACATTGTATACTGTTACAACACGGTGACTTTCTAACAATGTTACGTTAACACATTGTATATTGTTACAACACGGTGACTTTCTAACAATGTTATGTTAACACATTGTATACTGTTACAACGGTGACTTTCTAACAATGTTATGTTAACACATTGTATACTGTTACAACACGGTGACTTTCTAACAATGTTACGTTAACACATTGTATATTGTTACAACACGGTGACTTTCTAACAATGTTATGTTAACACATTGTATACTGTTACAACACGGTGACTTTCTAACAATGATATGTTAACACATTGTATACCGTTACAACACGGTGACTTTCTAACAATGTTATGTTAACACATTGTATACTGTTACAATACGGTAACTTTCTAACAATGTTACTACACATTGTATACTGTTACAACACGGTGACTTTCTAACAATGTTACTACACATTGTATACTGTTACAACACGGTGACTTTCTAACGAAAAACGTAGAATTGAATTATACTTATCTGATGACAAGTAAAATTAATTACAATCATGCTTTTCCAGGTTGGTAAAGACGTTTACACCAAAACCAAATATGAAACTTGTTTAGAGTATTAAGAGCTGAATGGATAATTTGTTGTGGAATTCAGAGATTCGCCTCTTGGCGTATTGTACAACTAAGTAGTTAGAACACGGATTCATATGTTTTCATGTTCGAAATACCTGAACATCGTAAACCGATTGTAAATACGAGTTTTTAAAGCTTGAAATAACACGAACAACGTATTTCGTTCTACTTATAATCAACTTGAAGTACATTGTTTGATCTTGAATTTGGACTCTCTGTAAATCTAAATAATTTACTTTAGGCCTAAAAAATGATTCCAAGAAGCTAGTCTGCTATTTCACCAACTGGTCTCAGTATCGTCCATCGATTGGAAAGTTCACTCCCGAAGACATAAATCCTTTTATTTGCACCCACATTATCTTTGCATTCGGCTGGATGAAAGATAACCAACTAACCGCCCATGACAGTTCTGATGAAAGCACAAAGAAGAAGAAGGGCTTATATGAACGCGTGACAGACCTGAAGAAGCAAAACCCATCTTTGAAAGTTCTTCTAGCAGTAGGTAAAGTTAAAGCTTCCAACCAGTTTATTTCAATGTAACATATATGAGTGAAAAATTCTGAAGATTATTATTTTTTTCATTTGAGGTGGTATTTCTGTTTGCAAAATAATATTTGTTATACGAGTGAACTTAATGCCAAATTTAACGTAACTTACACGAAAAACATTGTAATAAAAAGTGCACGAATTGGATTGATGTAAAATAAACGTACTTTTAAATAACAGCCTACTTAAATGCAATATTCAACTTCTGTTTCCAAAATAGTTCCCAAAGTGGTTACCAGAGTCGTTGTCTCAGTGTATCAGCTTCTGCTCGTAGAGCAATGACTAATAAAAAACAATAATAAAGGACTCTTGTTGGATTTTTCTGTTCCCAGTTTTTAACTTTGAGAACATTTAGTATGACGAATCCTTTTACAATGCAGTATCTTTAAGCATCTGTAGATGGAAAAAGATAAATCAATTAGCCATTCCAATATCCACATTCCTACATTATAAATTATGAATATTGCCCTTTCAATAGGAACATATGTGCATTGAGGATAGAGAAGAAAAAGCTGAAATAATTACAGTTAATTGATCAATTTAATAACGATTATATAAGTTTAACTACTTTAAAAAAACTCGTATATTTTCTCCGCTACTCCTAGTTTTTTTCTTGGTAAGTGGAAGGCCTCTAAGAGGAAAATACTTTAACTCAACCAACTTTATACTTATCCACTAAGCTATGTCCAATAATAATTGTCACCACCAGGTGACTGACAAATGGTGTATAATTATAACTTGATACAAAATTAACTTTTAAAATCCAAATTAAAAGAGGTAATGCTCTACTATGTGCTTCTTTTAGGAGGCTGGACGTTTGGAACTCAACTATTTAAAGAAATGTCATCTAACGTCTACAACCGCAGACGCTTCATTTTCAGTGCTTTGGAGTTTCTCCGCCAGAGGAACTTTGATGGTCTGGATCTAGACTGGGAATATCCTAACGGCCAGGAAGACAAAGAAAATTTTGTAGAACTTCTCAAGGTTAGTTGGTTTAGCAAGAAAGCATTATTATTTTATGTTTTCAATTATTGCAGAGTGTAGATAGTGGTTTTTCACGTTCTGTTTAAATTATTACCTTGAAAATGTCTTGCAAGCTAAATTTTAGGATTTTGAAACTCCAGTAAACTGTATCCTGCAAAACGCTGCCAATCAACTGAAAACTAAACGTTTGTTTAATATTGTTACGACAGCGGAGGTCACGTGACGCTAGTAACATTAACACTAGAGCCAATGTTTCTTTTCTACCATAGAAAATTTCTTTTGGTGACAATTAAACTTCTTAGAAAAATAACAAACAGGGTGTTCAATACCTTTGTCATCTGATTGTAATAGAATAGCACCAGCACCACAATCGCTGGCATCAACAGCTAATGCGAAAGGCTTATCAAAGTTAGGTGCCATCAATACAGGGTAAATGCACAAGAAATATTTGACTTTTCAAAAGGAGGTTGACATGTTTCAGATCATTTGAACTTTTGATTTTTCTTAAAAAGGTTTGTTAATGGTACAGTGATGTCAGCAAAATGTTTTACAAAACTTCCTGTAATAACCAGCCATTCCCAAAAATCTCATCAAGCTTTTCATGTTGGTATGAGTTGGATAATTCACAATACAATCAATTTTGGCTTGAATTGGAGAAACTTGGCCATGGCCAACTACATAACCTAAGGAAACAACTTTGGCTTTACAAAAGTCACTTTTTGCCAAATTTACAGTGAGATTGGCTTTCTTAAGCCTCTCAAAAACATCACGTACTACACATAAATGTTCTTCCCACATGTCACTGGAAATCACAATATCATCAACATAAATTCCAATATATGACAGATTGTTGAGGTATTGATTTATCATACGCTGAAAAGTTGCTTGAGAATTTTTCATCTCAAAAGGCATTACATTATACTGGTATAATCCATTAGGAGTAATAAAAGCAGATATTTATTTTGCCCTGTCAGTTAGAGAAACAGCTCAGTATCCCTTTAGTAGGTCACACTTTGTGATATATCTGGCTTTTTCAATTTTATCAATACAATCTCCCATTCTTGGAATGGGATAGGAATCTGTCTTTGTCAAAGCATTTACTTTGCGAAAGGCTGTACAGAATCTAACCAAACCATCAGAATTAGGAACCAGTACACAAGGTGAAGACCAGTCACATTTACTAGGCTCTATAATGCCGTTTTCCAGCATATAAGATATTGTTACGTCTCTGTTCGTTAGTTAATTTTCCGTAGAAATTCTTTCCGAAGAAACTTACCGATGCAAGTCCTTTTTAAAATAAAACTGATTTATTCTTTCTGAATACAACTTCGCAATACACTTAACTTACACAGTCGCGCTATAACAAACGCTATAATTTACAGCGAACGTCTCACGTGCTCAACTCAACAATACTCTCTCTCTCTGTCCGCAGTTCAATTACACATTACATTGTTGCCATTGCTTTTTGGCCGGTCTTATATATACAAGACCACCGCATATCTAGTAAACGCTCGAGCATTCAGGATCCTTCTAGAAGTTCATGATGCTTTAGAACATTTCAATGTGTATGTATCTGCATCACAACAACCTATTGTCATTTACACTGATCATAACCTATTGAAGTTTTTTAACCAAATGAAGGGCAAAAACAGAAGACTATTAAATTGGAGTTTATCATTACAAGAGTATGATTTGAAGATAATCCATGTCAATGGGGTTGATAACATTTGTGCTAATGCACTTTCACGTGCTACGTAATTTTATGGTCATAGGGTTATTTGTATTGATTGTGTTATGTACCGTCATGAATATTGAAGTTTTGTAATCCTTTGAATAATGTATTATATTTAATGTATTGTTGTGAATGTGTATGCATATATATATATATATATAATATCTTAGTTAAAAATTGTCTAACACCTAATTTTTAATTCTCTGAGGAGAGAGTTGTGATGGTATTTATTATTATATATTGTATTTTAATATTGATGTTT